TGTGAGAAACACCACTTAAAGAAAAAAAAAAAACTTCACTTTGACACAGACTCTAAAACCAGAGTTCTCCCGGCCTTGAAACATGTAGAGAGGTTAGAAGGGTTAAACTCTGTGGGAGTGGGAAATTTGTGAAATTTATTTTACGTCATTTAAAAAATTTCACGCATTTCACGGCATAAAGTTTAACAGATGTGTTTGTCTCAGTTCATACTTTTTAACCCTGTTTGTTGAATACCTGTTTACAGTTTTCAAAGTGATGCCAGAGGTCACGTAGTGCAGATTCAGATACATTTGCCAGCAATTGCCTTATTGCGAGATTACTGAACAGCCATAGAGAACGAGATCTGTTTTGTCAGGAATTACTTGGATGAGAAAACATTATCTTGACCTGTTTTAGATTTTTAAAAATTTAGAGATTCAAAAATTCGAAACATTTCTGGTTTACTGAAATAAAAAAATGTACTATAGCTTTGGTTGCTGGATTTTTTACTTCGATATAGTATATAATTGGATCTACACACATGCTGCTGAACACCTACAGACGTATCTGACATGTATGTTTCACTTAATTGTGAAACAAGATGTAGTCATCCAGAATCTTTCAGTGGTTTCACTACACGTGAGATTGATTCCAGCACTGAGGGCATCTTGGTATTTAAGTTAGAAAAGTTCTGCAGGGGTGGAAACTGGGTCAGTCCAGTTCACCGTGAGAAAACGTTAAATTTTTTTGCCTGTAAACTCAGATTAGCAGTGGTTCTCAGTTATATAACTGGTTGCGTATGAACATTAAAAAATGCACGCAGCTATTTCCATACGGAAACGGGTATTTCTCAATAAGAGTGTGCTGTGTGTGTGTGTGTGTGTGTGTGTGTGTGTGTGTGTATGGAGCTAGTCATGAGTCAGCCGAAAAGATGGTGATATCATATTGCGCCGAAGAAAATTATAATATCAAAGAGAGCAACATTTTCTTTGAAGCCTTAAACTTGCCAATGGCTGAATGTAACACAGTGGATGCTTCAGTCCTGTTACAGAACATTATCAATGTCGGATGAAGGGTAATACAAACACATGTTATGTCCAATAAGATTAAACAGGTGTGCTGTCATTATTTGTACGTAGAATTATAGGTGTCTGTATCAAGCTGCTCAGTGCTGCTGTAGGGCTTTGATTCAACTGCACACTGTGTCTGTGTATGCGCAAAAGCAAATGCAATCAGACTTATTTAAAAAGATACTATCTTGAACCAAGAGGTAAATGTGTACACTCTATATGGATATGTATTTGCTTGTTTGAAAAAAAAAGGCTAAATGGCTTGTTAAAATGGGGATTTTTGCTTCCTTTACAGAGCCCAGGCACAGGATTGAGAAACCGTCTCACCACAGGACTATCTGGCTGGTTTCCACCACATTCACCCATCCTGACAACCGGTGGGGAAACCACCTCAGCAAAGCTCATCCGGTAGGAGTTTACAAATTTGTAAACCACTGATCAGTGTCTTGTTGACAGTATCAAACATGTTTATCAGACAAAATCTAACTATTTCTGTTGTTTCAGTTGTGCGTCAGTAGTGTGAGATGGAGTCAGATGTTTTACATGATAGCAGTAGTAAGAGACCTGAACACTCGAAAACATGGAGTGCCCCAAACCTGCAGTGAATGTGGTTTACAAGCCTACGTGACATTACCTTAATTCTGCAGTTGCCTGCTTGTTTCTAGCTCTTGGTGAGAATTGTCCAACCCACACTGATGCCATTTCTTCAGCAACAGCTTTGCTCAAGTTCTCTTTTTGTGGTTTTTTTTTAATCAGTCAATATTAAAGGTCATGATCATTTCAATAGCTCTGTCAAGTGGGTGACACTTAGTCATAACCTAAATCTAGAAAGCCTAGATCTAAAAATCAGTTAGAGTATAAAAAAAATCCATCACACAGTCGGCATCCAAAATCACACACTATGACTTTGTCTGCATACTATGCTCTGAGTTCTTTAAAAGTTTTCAACTTATACTGTGGTTTTTACAAACAGGGTTATGCAACAAAACACCACAGCTGGCTGATGTTTAAATGGAAAATCGAAAGGCAAAAATAATCTGGAAACTTGGAAGTAAGGGCGCAAGAGTGAGGTAGTACAGTATGGCAAAAGTGAGAGTAAAACCCTTCAGAAAAAGAATCTAGAGACTTGCAACTAAGTTGAAGGGAAGGTAGAAAAAAACAGAAAATCAATTAAGAGTAATTTACAGCATACTAGAAAGAGTATGGAGCAGGGTTGATAATAACATAATTGAGACAGTAGTTTCTGTAGCATCTTGAAGTCTCGAATACTCCCTTTTTGCTGCAAATTACTCTTAATTGATTTTCTTCTCCCTCCCTTCCCTTCGACTTAGTTGCAAGTCTTCTCTCAAGAATCTCTAGATTCTTTTTCTGAAGGGTTTTACACTCACTTTTGCCATTCTGTACTACTTCACTCTTCCGCCCTTAAAGTTAATTAATACTGTATGCCTAACCTACGGCGTAGCCTGACGTGGACCTCCCCAGAATTGTAACTAAGTGTCGCGGTGACGCAGACCTCCTGTCTGTTTCTGTAAGCTGAAACCATTTCCCTCAGTGGAAACAAAGCTTTTATTTACTTTAGTTTCACAGATAAGAAACAATAAATTGTGAAGACAATAAAGCCTCCACTAAATAGCATTTTAAGTCTTGTGTGTGATTTATCCTGGCTTCATATGAGCAGAGGAAATCTCTGCTCGTCGCTAGGCTAATTTATACAATGTGAAATGCCATAGGCTTGTGCTAATAACGTTAGCTTGTTGTATTTGTTTGGAAAACGTGTTTAGTATAAGACAGTTGTTTTGTCAGTGAACCTTGTGAGTTGTAATGGAGCTGAATTTTGTAACGTTACCTTTGTCAAATGTTGCTGTTGTCCCTGGCTTCATATGAGTAGAGGAAAAGATTGCTAGCTGCTAGGCTAATTTATACCATGTAAAAGGCCATAAGCATGCGCTAATAACGTTAGCATGTTGTATTTGTTTGGAAAACATGTTTTGTATAAGACGGTTGTTTTGTCAGTGAACTTTGTGAGTTATAGTGAAGCTGATTTGTGTACTTGTGTTTGAAATTGTCTCTATTAAGCCATGTTTAATGTGTGTTTGAATCAACTAATCTTTACAGCACTTCACAGAAACCTCTGCCGCCGACTAGTGTTTTGGAGGTGTAACTGCAGAGTGACACATACACACCACCGCACAACCATAAATCTAGCTTTAGTTGGGAGTTCAATAAAGTTTTTGTTGCATAACCCCCTGTTTTTACCTCTGAGAAACTCGGGGGGAGACACAGCCCCCTCAACCCCCCGCTACTGCGAGATTGCTCCAGGCACTGGCAACGGGCAGGATTCGAACCCACACTCTGGGCCATTGGCACCTTATTGCCACGGTCAATCCCACCACGCCACCAACACCCTTCACACTGGGACCTTTTCTCCGGGTGCATTTATCCTTTTCATTTGGACAGTAGCCTTTAAAATTCACCTGCCATGAATAAGGCTCGAGCTTTCAACCTTTTACTCTCCAAGCAGCTCTTTAACAGCCTGAGCTATAGGAGTTCACACTTCAGCTGTGTTTCATGGTGCCTTTCTCTTTCTCCATTGGACAGCAGCCTTTAAAATTCAATTCACTTTACCTTGATAAGGATCAAACCCACAGTCTTAGGTCCTCCAACCAGTTGTCTAACAGCCTGAGCTATCAGTCCAGAGACACTTTGGCTTTGTTCCTTATCGCTTTTAATTTTTTCCTTCAGGAATCAGCTTCCAAACAGACTGACTGTTCACCTGAGAATCTGTACTTATGTGCAAATATAATATATTCGTGGTTTGCAGAAACGCCACCACTTTCTTCTGGCAACTGTTGCGCACTCTTCTTTTCTCCTTCAGTTATCCTCTCTCATCTACGTTTAGATTTTAGCTGTTCAGCCGACACTCTAATGCCGGCTGACTGACAGTGAGTACAGCTGCAGCAGCGCAGATTAATTAGCTAAAGTGGAGTCCATTCATTCATCACAGGGTCCTAATGATCAATAATATAAGTGTCATGGCGTCAGACAGGGCAGAAATGCTAGTGTCAACACCAGAAGCTCATACGTCACAGTGTGTGTAAAGTATGGGTGTGAATGTGTATGTAAATGTGCGTTTGGTGCTTTATACATCACAGACAGAGACTGCCTGGCAACAGAAGCAATGCCAAGAGCTATAAAGCAGCTGCTAACAGGAGCTGACAAAGCATTTAGAGAAAGTACAGATGAGGGTGGAGTGACATTGCATTAAGAGAGTAAAACTGGGACTTTTATCAAGGTTACAAGGGAAAAAATGTGGTTGGAGGATACACATGGGAGAAGTTTTCCTGGAGGGCTTTCTGCCAGAAAAATTTGTTCATTTTAGCCCAAACCACAATTTTTTCCTAACCTTAACCAAGAAATCCCTTTCTGGCAAACCTGGCAACCCTGTAGGCAAACCTCTCCCAGCAGCTTGCAGGACGCACATAAACCTCACACTGATTATACAACTGTGATTATTGCATCAGCTGGAGTTCAGTGTTATCACAGTAACCTCCAGTATCTGGCGCACTCTGACGAACGTGCAGACGGGTTAAGACTGGTCAAATCACAGTAATTTAATTGTGAGCAATTTGCTCATGCGTTTAATTACAGCAGCTCGTGTTTTGTGTGTCAGTTTGTTGGAAAACTTGCAAGGACAACATGTCAAACGTAAGAGGATAATTAGCACATTTACTCTTACTCAGACTCTCAGCAGTTATGGTGTTACTGCAGGCGTGTAAACAAAGCCACTAAATGTAATCAACTGTTGCCTTCAGATGAAAATCTTCTCACTTAAAAATACTGGCTTTCCAGAAAATATAAATCAAGCTCGTCCCTACCTTGACAAGTGTTGTACAGTCTGATTTATTTAAAGGCTAAAGTAATGTGTGATGTTAAAGGGCAGGGGTGGAGAGGATGGATGGGAGAACAAATAGTGGGAGACATGTGCCCCCTTTCAATGAAGCTGCAATAAGAGTGCTGCATGATTTGTTCAGACAGATAATCAGATAAGATAATCCTTAATTCGTCCCACAGCGGGGAAATTTGCAGCAAAGGGACAGAGTGCAAACAGGAAGCATCAGAAAAAAATACAAAGCAGTATATAAGTACGTTAAATAAGTAAAGTGTACAAAAACAGAGCAGTGTGATCAGCAAACAGTGTAAAAACACAAAGCAATATAATAAGGAAGCATCAAAAAGAAGCTGAATATAATAAAGAGACGGACTGTGGCTGATTTTACATCATTGACCGGATGGAAATACAGATATTGCACAGTTTAACAATACTGATTCTGCACCTGAGTGATTCATTGTAAGCAGCACAAATTAAAAGCAACATATAATGATAAACAGACAGTGGCAGTATTTACATTATTGCATGCACCAAGTATAGATAATTCACAGTTGGTATACACAGATGCAGATTTTGCACATGAGTGATGACTGATTGTCCACAGTTTTCGTATGTGTGGTCCACTGGGAGCAGTGTTGGTTGTGTCGTCTGACAGCAGCAGGAAGGGCAGACCTGCATTATCTCTCCTGTCAGTGAAAGAGCTGCCCGGTGCTGTCAGTGTCCTGCATGGGGTAGGACATGTTGTCTATAACAGAGGTTGGCTTGGCTTTCATTCTCCACCACCTCCATCAGGTCGAGGGAGCATCCCAGGACAGAGCTATCAGTGTGTTAAGTCTCCTACTGTCAGCCGTCACGAAGACCACCAGCTTTTTGGGTTTTCCTGCACTGAACTGGATTCCAGCCCTGGATCAGTGCTCTGTATTCTCTGTCATCCTCGTCTGGGATGAGGCTGACAGTTGTGGTAGAGAGAGAACAGAAAGGGAGTCAGATCTTCATTAATGGAAGCCTAAATGCAGTAGACAGAGGGGGAAAAAAACAACTGTTAGGCTATCAATGAACTCCACCACACAAACCTTACACCTTAACTACAATTAGAAATTACTGAGGCGCCCACTACGTCACCTCGTAAAGCAGCCCATGTACAAAGGCTGTGTCCTTGCTGCAGCGGCTGTAGGCTCAATTCTAATCCAAGGCCCTTTGCTGCATGTCATCCTCCTTCTCTCCCCCTTTCACTCCATAGCTGTCCTATCAAATAAAAGCAGTTAAGTTTGACTTAAAATAGTTTGCAAGTGTGAGTGTACAGACAACGAGGCTGTAAAGGCAGACGAGTGAGTAGATGAGTTTCCGTGTTTGGCGTTATAATGTTTAATGTCCACAACAGCCTCTGCAGTCTCATTTAGCCACCTCTTTGTAACTGCCTTCTTGAGACATGTAAAAGCTTTAAACTTCATGAGCTGGGTATTTACTGATATATTTCACGTTGCACAAATTATGAAAATCTCTTAAAGCTTGTGTCAATCACAGACCTCATTTCAGACATCTAACTAAAAACCCATTCAAAAAACTCATCGACTTCAAGATCAGGGAACCAGAGGTGCAAAGATGCTAACTTGTCTCCAGGTTTTGGGACTCATTCCTGCAGCACACAATTGTAACCCCAAACATTATGGCTTCCTAACCATGTACTGATTTCAACGCAAACCCTAACAAAGTCACGTTTGTGCCTAAACATAACGAAACCAGTCCCATGGTGTTGTCACAGCATGAAACAGATTTTTTTCACTGGTGATTTGTAACAGTTGAAGTGATATGATCTTGCTGATGGGGGCGTCAGATCAATGTTTCATGTTGTTTTAAAGAGCACTGACGTGGATCATATTTTGTAATGCAAGTGGAAGGACTTGCTGCATTAAACAACAAATTATTGTTTTTACCGTTTACAGTACTTTTTGTACGGATTAAACAAACATCAATGAGGCCGTTTCCCCCTTTTTCCAGTTTTTATGCTAAGCTAAGCTAACCAGCTGCTGGTAACATATTTACCATACAGACATGAGAGTGGCATTGAGCTTCTCAACTAACTCAGCAAGGACTGAAATAAGCAAATTACCCAAAATGTAATAAGGAATTACAATGCACAGTATGTTTGACAGAATCTCTTAAACTTTCTTCCAGAAATCTGCAGCCCTCTTGAACTTCTGCAATGTGTGAGGAGGGAAAAACATGAATCTAAATTAATAATAATTTATCGTTCATGGAAGGTTGTTTCATGTAATGTCGAATGAGTTGCCAGACCAGATTAAAGTCATCTGAGGATAGGACCGCCTTCCACAGTCAGTGAATGCAGCAGGTAGCAGCAGCTTTACAAAGATGTAATGCAGAGACCAGTCTGCTAGGATTGGTCAATGCTGTGGTTTTATTCTTTAAATTTAAAAAAGAAGACTGAATGCAGACCTCTCAAAGCTTTTTGTCTGACAGCGACATGATTTAATTTTTTTTTTTTTTTAGTGTGGGTGTGTGTGAGAGCCTGTGTGCATTTATGTGTGAGTGGAAACTGAGAGTGCAGCATGTTTCCATTCAACTGCCCTGTGCTCAGTGCAGACACGGCCACTTGGTCAAACACACACACACACACACACACACACACACACTCACACTCACACACCAAGCACAAAAGCAGCAGCAGATGTCAAATTTTCTCTCCTAAAACTCTTGTGCAAAAGAGCCTTTATGACTTGACTTGTTTTGACAGCTGTGTGTATGTGTGTGTGTGTGTGCATGTAAGCAGATCACATTTTCTGGTAAATGTCCCACCTCTCTCATTCGGGTCTCCGCCTCAGCCACTTTATCTCCACATCCATCTCCCCAGTCAGCAAATGAGCTCCTTCTACCGTGAAATGTAAAAGAAAGAGAAGATTAAATGGGAGTCAACGGAGATTAAATCACTCACTGCGACTCTAAAGTCATTAGTTTGCTCTGCTGAGTTCGTCCACCTTGTATCACAGCTTCACTTTTTTTTTTAAATCTATCCTAACACAACACTCACATGCATGTATGTACAATAGATATTTTCAAAGCAAAATATTTGGGAAAAACGGTGTGACCCTGAAACTGACACAGCTATAAATGGAATTCAGCCATGATAAATTTATTATTTACACCTGTCCTTATAGTCACTGGTTGCTTTGTGAGACAAATCAGAAGGGACGTGGGAGGAATCGAACATTTCTAACACAGTAAAATTGCATGACGTGTATCAATGAAGTAAAAGCTGTCAAATTTATTTGTTTTCGGCAGATACATGGAACATATTTTGGAAAATCCAGCAAGACTGCAGTTCAGTTATTTCCTAAGATGAAAACTGACAGTGATTTCCTCCGACTCTTCCACTGGAGTTGCATTACAGGATGCATTAGCTTCGAAAGTTGCTGCATGCTAATTGCCATTTGAATATTACTGGTACAGAAGACAGAGAGGCTTGTGTATTGTGTTCATTCTAATGCTACATTAATGTCATATTTTTCAGACTAATATTGAGCAGACGAGTGAGGGAGAAATGCGAACATCAGCCTCCAAGTTGTAATTGTTTCCATTCAGGATCAGTAGCTATTAGAGCGACCAAAATCTCTTTCAATGGACATGCTAGTATTGTATTTAGATTAAAAAAAAATGTGAATCACTAAACCAAAGAAAATGTAAATCATAAAAAAAAAAAAATCCTAACCTAAATCAGTTTCCCCCTCCAAGATGCGTGACGATTATTTCCACACACTGCATTCAAAAACACTGGTAACTTACTGTAGTCTTAAACCTTTGATGAACGGACCGTGTTAAATGTTCTCTGTGGTTTCCCTGTAGGCGGCTTCTTCTCCTTTTGATCACAAAGGATCAGTAAGTCAGTTTTAAATGTTGATTTGTTTTGTCAGTGTCCTCAAGGTAGGTCCGAGGGCTGCTGTGAAACTGCGCCTACTTGGGTGTGTCTGTGCAATAGATGAACGAGAAAGGACGGCAGAGGAGAAACCTGCAAACCAAATGTAACTGAATAGAAAGATGCAAAAAAGTCCACATGCAAAAATAGTATTTATTTGAGACATATGTGCACAGAAAAGGTGCTCAAAGTGCAAAAAAAGTATATGAATGATGAAAATCAGCAGCTGTTTTTACTCACTTTTTGTGGCTCTCTACAAAACATTGGTGTGCAAGTATCTCCTCTGCCGTCCTCACTGTAAGTCCCACACGTTCCAGGCTGCATTCAAATGGGTCTCGCTGAGCTCTGATATCAAACAAAGTGTCAGTGTGATATTAAATAAGTCATACAGTAGCAGCTTTTTAATATGAACAAACCATTTGCCAGTTTTGTCATTAAACTAATTAAAATTTTGTTTTGTTTTAACTACATGTATGTAGTTTACTATTAGCATTACTGTAGCACCCAGTTAAAGTACTGTGAAAAAGAGGATTGTCACTTGAATGACTTATCGGCTGCACATGTCCCTCGCCTTCACCTCTGATCTCCAGCCAATACATACAGCTGGTGCTAAGTACTCTTAAACCTGATGCAGGTTTCCACTTTATCAAAAGAGACGACAAGACAGAACGTCCGCTCATCCATCAAACTGGTTCATTTACTCACGCCAATGATGAATAGACTGATTCATTAAGTGGAGAAATCCCATGGCGTCACCTCTGATCTTCAACCAAATTGCGATTTGTATTCACACTTACCGGCTGTGCATAGTGAGCATGTGTCACAAAGGAGTTTCATAACACAGTTTTAATTTGAATATATCTCAAAAATCTATTAATCGACTCTGTGAGACTTTTAACCAAAACCAAAAGACGTGATCACATCACTCCAGTTTCAGCCTCTTCACACTGGCTCCCAGTATGTTTTTAAACAGATTTTAAAATTTCACCTATTACTTTTAAGGCTCTTCATGGTCTCTCTCCCAGCTGTATCTCTCCTTTTAGCGCCGTACACGCCAGGACGTACTTTGAGTCCTCGGGCCTCCAGAGGCCCAGCTGAAACTAAAGGGGACAGACTGTCTTTTATTTCCGCTGTTTCTATATACTTAAGTGTTTTTATTAGTTCTTTTTCTTCTTCTTTTGCATAAATGTCATATTTTTCACACTGTAAGGGAGAACTGTTGATAGCAACCTCCACTTTGTTATTCTTTGATATTGGGAATTGTGAAAAATATATATATATATATATAGTTTTTATTAGTTCTTTTTCTTCTTCTTTTGCATAAATGTCATATTTTTCACACTGTAAGGGAGAACTGTTGATAGCAACCTCCACTTTGTTATTCTTTGATATTGGGAATTGTGAAAAATATATATATATATATATATATCATCTGGGGAAAAGAACTGGAGCAAAATGTTTCTAAATAAAATCCCATATTAACACTAATGCAATCAACTCAGCTGATAGAAAATGAGTTTTTTTTTAAATCTAATTTCATTAATTTAATTTGTTAAAAGATTGCTACCCAGATGTGACACAATTTTTTGGAGACTGCTCGATCAGCAATGGAGTAATGATCTTTGAGGGATGTGTTGATTCAACCAAATTAGAATAACAAAGTTTTCATGCTTTTTTCTCAAACGTTCTGCCAATTAAAATACAACATTAACACAGCTCTGGGGAAAAAAAATGATTTGTACAGTCTGTGTAAATGTCTTTGCTGTCTCTCCCTTTCTTTATGTATCATTTTGTCGTATGGATTACCGTAAATTTATCATGTCGATCTGTTCTGTACACACGACATCTATTGCACGTCTGTCCATCCTGAAAGAGGGATCCCTCCTCAGTTGTTTTTCCTGAGATTTCTACCATTTTTGGAGGGGAGAGTTTTTCCCTAATCCGCTTATCCGAGTCCAACGGTCAGAGGGATGTCGTATGCTATAAAGCCCTCTGAGGCAAATTGTGATTTGTGATATTGGGCTTTATAAATAAAATTAAAATTGGCGTTTTTAACAATTTAATGTGAATGTTTTCGGTTGTTAATAGATGACTTTACCCTGTAACTCAAATATGTCAACCCACCAAACAGTCATCTTCATAAATATCAAACCTTTGATCATTACCCCAATTTTATTTCGGTCATGTTTAAAACTGTTAGCAGAATATTTCTCTGACAGAATGTAGGTGTCCTAATAGCCTCTGTACAGGGAAATCTACATTTTTCGTTAAATAAACTTTCAGAGTTTTGTAATTTCTCTAATTGAATCCACTTCTACACGAAGGTGGGCGTAGTTAGAGAGGAGCTGCTGTTGCTACCAGCTTTTAAAGCACCCTGTCACTTTTTTCCCCACAACAAATGTACTCTGCAGTATTTAAAGCTGCCCCGAGAGAGCTAAATGCAGATCCACTTTATCAGGCAGGGAAGACAAAGCACCGAGTCATTTATCAGACTGGTTAATCTGGTCTTGTCCCCTCAGTAAATTATTCATCATAGTTATACGTCTTTGTCCTGAGAGAAAGGATCGCTGGAGTGAAATAACACCCCTGTTTGATCCATTTATCTTGACCGTCCTGTATGAAGACAGTTGTACTGGTGAAGAGAAGCTGATTTGAAGTCAAATGTTGCTGCAGGTGTTTCTATGCTGAGCTTTTGGGCCTTTGGATTTGTCATAAATCAGCAGTGGTGTTTCAGAACTGATTTCTGAAATGTGTTTCATGCCCTGAGAATCTGACTTACTGCAGTGTTGACACAGCAATATCTAACACCTGTACTGAAATTGACTCGATGTGGGACTGAAACATCTTTTGACAGCGATACGATGAGTCTGAAACTAAGTGGTGCTCCACTTAAAAAGGGCAACCGACTAATTCATCTCCTCAGCTTTTAACAGAATGATTAACAGCGTCACTGAAGCTGAGAAATTTCAACCCATCTGGCCCGTGGTCGGTGTAATGGCTACGACGTGAGGAAAGAGGCTGCAGGGTTATAAATGGAAGACTGTAATTTATCTTTTTTGTACTTTTTTACAAGGTCTTTAATCACAGTGTCCACCTTTGGGACTTTAAGACATCCATCCTCAGGAGAAGAGCCTGTCAGTCAGTAGATAACCAGAGAGATTTGTCTTAATAAAGATGGGTGTGCATATGAGGATATATCAGGGTGTTTCACAAGATAACTCTGTTTCTGGGGATCATTTTCATCCTATGATGTAATTCCGGTCTATTTTTGAGCCATTAAACCATTTTTTCTTGAAATAAGTGAGCAAATCTTCAAAATAAAGCAAATCACTTCACTGGAATCACGTAATGACTCTTGATTTTAGTAAATTTTTGTAACAATATGATTGATAATACAAACAGGTTGAAATTATCACAGATTTTATTACCTCTTTTGAGAAAACAAGACTTTAAATGCTAGCTCTTGATTAGATGAATATTTTAGCAGCACACTGTAATATACTGCAAGTGGAATGTTTATCCTCTTTATCAAATTTTAAATATGTTTTTCCCTAAAAAACAAACAACACTCATTAACAGAACAAAAGTTATGGGTCATAACTATCAACATTAACAGTACTCACGACTAGACAATCAGAGACACATGGATTTGATCACCAGTGATTATGTCTTCAGTTGATTTAAAGGGTAACGCTGTTATTTTTTGTATTTTTTTTTTAGATATTTTTTGGGGCTTTTTAGCCTTTAATGTATAGGACAGACAAGCGTGAAGGGGAGAGAGAGAGAGAGAGGGAGTGACATGCAGCAAAGGGCCACAGGCTGGAGTTGAACCCGGGCCGCTGCGGCAACAGCCTTGTACATGAGGCGCCTGCTCTACCACTAAGCCACCGACACCCCACGCTGTTATTTTTTTAAATGGTACTCTATATTACCATGTTTTAATGTCTAAGTGACTAATGGAGCAAACAATCTCTGAAATTAGTCCAGTTGTGAGAGCACTGCAGCTAGCAGCGGGGACACAGGCTGCAATGTAACCACTTGGGGCATTTGTGCACCGTCAGTTTACACCGAAAAGTGCTTGTTTTTGCCACTGACAGGCTCACTGTGCATTCCTATACCTGTACTACCATACTATATAATAAGCTGGAATATCAAGTATGTTTCAATACATAGTACTTGAAATGCAGTATGCCAAAAACACCAGGATGTTCTACTACTTATGGTTTGATTTTGCAGCAAGCCTGCTTGGCTATTTTGACCCACAATCCACACAGCGGACGATAAGTCACATCGACTGAGCAGCAAACGCATCACAGCTCACTGACAGCTGATTGACAGCTGTCGGAGGCCACAATTATGGAAGGTAATGGATATAAAAGCAAGAGGGTCAAAGTTCAGGGCGTAGTATAATGAGACAGTAGTGTGTCCCGATTTTGTGCACACTGCATGCAACAGTACGTACTTTTTTAAGGACAGCTGTAGTACATACTAACAGTAAAAAGAAAAAGTATGCAATATTGAATCCACCCTCAGATTGTTATTTCAACAGTCTGGCAACATTATGGAAATTATTCCTACTGAGATAGACCTTTTAATTAAATCTGAAACAGCCCCAAAATGGCCATCGGCCAACCCACCAGACTCCATTTAAAAAACAAAACGTTTTTAGCGTGTATAGAGGCAGCATATTTTCACATCTAACTGGGTGAGTTAAATATTTATTTTAACCAAACCAGAGTTGGTGATTGGTGGAACAGTGTTAAGACAGAAAAAGATGGTTTTTGTGAGTTTTATTTTGAACTGTCGACTGTCGAATGAAAAACAGTCTGGTGAGTCTGGCGAAAGCGATTTCAGGGGTGTTTCTAGTTAAACAAAAAGGATTTTACTCTTTAAAAAAAAGGTCTCTTTCTGCAGGGCTCCTTTCCATAATGTTGCCAGACACTTAGAACAACAAACTGAGCCTGTCAGTGACAAAAACAAGCACTCTAGTGGATCTAAATTGACGGTGCACAATAAAGAATACATTCCAGCCTGTTTCCCCGCTGCCAGCTGCAGCTCTCTCACTCAACACTCGGCTATTCTCAAAAAATCATTGTTCCATTAGTCCCTTGACACAAACACATGGGCAAATAGTCAAGTTAAACAACACACATAATGAGGGGCAACGCTCTTCAAACTCTTCAAAATATCATCTGCTAAAAAGACTAAATGTCTGCAAACAGCTCTCTGCCTCATCTTTTCCAGTGATGCTCAAAGCGTCGGGGAGGAGGTCCTGCTGTCTGTTGTGTGGCCAAAAGTGTGAGGCGCTCTTTTTGTTTTTCTGCCAGTGAGGCAAACACTTCAAA